TCCATAGTCTGATCAATTAAATCATGGAATGTACTCCATGATTAAATTTTCATAATAATCGCTTTACATACTGTCGACGTTCTTCTCCAAATTTCCTTTAATTCGTTTTCTTTCGTCACTGTCATAGTCGACCTCAAGACGGTTTCATAGTCGACTGCTTGAAGAGCGAGAAATTCAACGAAATTAAATTTGTGGACGATCGTAAATGGAATGCATGTAACTTGTACCTCGGACTACTAATACTTGTATTACTAGTCTGAGCTTGTACTGAATGCAAGAGACTGTTTATATTTGCTATGGGTGGTGACTATTATGCAAATTATCTGTCTATTATGTCTTTGGCTGATTAATTAAAACATAGCTTTCAAAACAATGACATGTGCTTTTGTTTTTAATTAACAAAAATTTATTTTTACACCCTATAAAAACATCCAATTCACTTGTTTTCCTACTGAGTGATTGCTCCTTGTAGTCCAGCATTGAAAAATACAAAAAAGTAGAATTTTGGGATTCAAAGCAAAAAAAGGTGTACAGCATCCTTAATGCAATTTTTAGAACGATTGTGGGCAGTGCCTCACTTAAAAGAGTGTACAACAACTTAATCACAGACTTAATCAGACTGTGAAAAATAAAGACAAGTACATGTAACATCACTCAATGAATGATTACAGATGAGCATACAAGATTTCTACCTGAGTTAATTGGTGGAGCTCTGATAACATCAGTAATTTGCTTTTGAATTTCTGTAGTGATTCCAGCTATAAAAAAAAGTACACAAGTTTTTTTTTTATAGCAAATTTGTGATAAGCCCAATTCATTTATTAACTACATTACACAGTAAACAATATGTACCTTTTTATCACTATTCTAAAGATTGGAATTAACTTATTGGAATTTAAATTATTTTAATTGGAATTAAACTGGCATGCAGACATAAAAAAAAATTCAACTTCTATTTGATTTGTTACCTCTTACAAAGTCAACTGGATAGCCAGCTTTGATGGCGTCTGCTAAGTGACATCCTACGGTTGATTCTTTGATACCTCTCACTGAGGCAATCTCACTCTGAAAAAATATAATCAAACAAGCCATGCATGGCACAGTCCCCGTTAGTTATCAAATTTAAGATATATAGTTATGTTTATAGTAATATAGCTGGAATATAACCATGTCAGGAATATGATTTTTTTAACATTAAAATGATTGACATTTGCATCTGATCGTCAAACAAGTACTTGTCCATATTGAGAGATATTGCTCTGGAACAGCATTCAAAATCAGCCATTT